GGCCTTCATTAGACAGTAAACAAGATCTAGATGGAAGTCCCTGCTTAGATGCTGGGCCATCCCTTTCCCTCAGTGTGCCGTGTCTTCCTGGCTTCCGTCCTTTTATTCTAATTAAGGAGCCTCACCCAGCCCTTTCCTTCCACATGGTCTCCTTTGCCTGTAGGCCCCACAATAATTTGTCTCCTGAACCTTGGTGGGTTTTGTTTGAGAACAGAAAGCTGTTGTAGAACATTGCACTTAAGATCTGGACTCTACTTCTAGCTCCATTTTGTGATCATGGGCAGGTCAGTCTCTCTCAACTTCTGTTGCCTGAAGATGACATTATCTGCTTAATTTTATAGGATTGTATTAGGATCATGGATGTGAAAATGCTATCTAAACTGTAATGTTACATCCTAGGAACGGTAATGTTATTGAGGCTTTCTAGGCTATTATACACGTGCTTAATCCCTTGAGCTGTGGACATTTGTCAGTCACCCAGAGGATTCTTTTTTTTTTTTTAAAGTTAGTTTATTCTGAGAGAACATGTGCACAACATGTGGGGCACGGGGATAGAGAAAGAGAGAGAAGCCTGAGCAGTCTTTGCACTCTCAATGCTGAGTCCCACGTGGGGCTCGAACTGACAAACCGTGAGATCATGACCTGGGGTGAGATCAAGAGTCACTGTCTCGTGAGTTTGAGCCCCATGTCGGGCTCTGTGCTGACTGCCGGCTCGGAGCTTGGAGCCTGCTTCAGATTGTGTCTCCCTCTCTCTGCCCCTCCCCCGTTCATGATCTGTATCTTGCTCTCTCAAAAATAAACATTTAAAATATTTTATTTTGGGGGGCGCCTGGGTGGCTTAGTTGTGCATCCAACTTCAGCTCAGGTCATGATCTCATGGTTCGTGGTTTTGAGCCCCACATCGGGCTCTGTGCTGACTGCCGGCTCGGAGCCTGGGGCCTATTTCGGATTCTCTGTCTCCCTCTCTCTCTGGCCCTCCCCTGCTCAGTTTCTCTCTCAGAAATAAATAAAACATTAAAAATATTTTTTATTTTTATTTTTATTATTATTATTTTTTAAATATTTTTATTTATTTCTAGGAGAGAGAGAGAGAGACAGCGTGAGCAGGGGAGGGTCAGAGAGAGAGGGTGCCACAGACTCTGAAACAGGCTCCAGGCTCTGAGCTGGCAGTCAGCACAGAGCCCGACGCGGGGCTCCAACCCACGAACCGCGAGATCATGACCTAAGCGAAAGTCGGACGCTTAACCGACTAAGCCACCCAGGCGCCCCTTTATTTTTATTTTTTAATTAATTAGAAAGACGGGTGCTTGGCTGGTTCAGTTGGAGGAGCATGTGACTTTTGATCTCGGCTGTGAGTTCAAGCCCTACATTGGGTGTCAAGATTACTTGATAACAAAATTTTTTAAAAACTTACAAAATAAATAAAAATTGAAAATATAGAGCATGGTTAAATATAATCCTGTCTGATCAGTTCTTTAAAAGAGGCATTAACTGTGATCTGGCATTGGTTCTCCCCAGACCATTAGCAGAAGCATCCATCACCTGGGAACCTACTAGAATGCAAATTCTTGGGCCCTGCCCTAGACCTATGGAATCAGGAACTAGAGGTGACACAGCAGTCTGTTGTGGGAGTTTCCCGTGTGATTGCCGACTGTTAAAGTTGAGGACCCCTATGCTTTGGGGACAGAGGGAAGAAGTGATCACATTATTGTATCTTGTGTAATTGTCTTCTCTGCTAGACTGTAGGGGTAGGGAACCATCTCCACGTTTGTTTTCTATCCTTAGCATTTGACACAGTGTTTGGTGCCAATTTGGGATTCCATGAAAATTGATTAAATGACCAGTTAGAAGCTTAGTTCTGTAGTCCAGGCACAAGATGATAAGGGCAATAGTTAGAGCTGTGGCCATAGGAAAGGAGAGAAGGAAGAAATCTAAGAACTATTTTAGGTTATAGGATTTATAGGCTATGGTAACTGTGGATGTAGGAAGTAAAAAGAAGGCCTAGTCCAGGAACATGGTGAGATTTTTAGCTTGACTAACTGGTGATGTCATTAACACTACAGATTTTAGGAGACCGTAGCTTTGGTCTGTGTAGGTTTTGAGGCAATTGGAAATAACAGTCTAGCTCTAAGGTAAGTTTGGGTCTAGAATTAAAAAGTCAACAGCGTCTGCATCAGTGGAGGCTTCACATTAGAATTACCTGGCAGGCTTTCAGAACATTTCCAATGCATAACCCCAATCTACACCAATTAAATCAGAATCTCTGGGGGCACCTGGGTGGCTCAGTTAGTTGCCTATCAGATTTCAGCTAAGGTCATGATCCCATGGTTTTGTGAGTTTGAGCCCCGCGTCAGGCTCTGTACTGACAGACCCTGGAACCTGCTTCAGATCTCGTGTCTCCCTCTCTCTTTGCCCTACCCTGCTCATGCTCTGTCTCTCTCTCTCTCTCTTTCTCTCAAAAATAAATAATAAAAGCATTTTAAAAAATCTGAGGAATGGTGCCCAAGAATCAGTACTTTTTAGTTTTTTAATTTTTTTAATGTTTTATTTCTGAGAGAGAGACAGCGTCAGCAGGGGAGGGTCAGAGAGAGAGGGAAATACAGAAACTGAAACCGGCTCCAGGTTCTGAGCTGCCAGCACAGAGACTAACATGGGGCTCGAACCTCCGAACTGTGAGATAATGATGTGAGCTGAAGTCGGATGCTAAACTGACTGAGCCACCCAGGTGCCCCGATTCAGTACTTTTTAAAAAAACCTTTTAGGGGATGACTCCATTGTGCACCAGGGCTCACTGGGAAAGGTTAAGGAGGTCACAAACAGCCAGAAAGACAGAGGTTTTCAGTAAGAATCTGGAGGGATGCCAACCGTTAAGAGTAAATTGAGGAAGGAAGCCAGCAAAGAAGGCCCTTTGTGGGCTAGGATATGGAGTCTTTTGGTCTTGGTGCCCTACGATTCAAATGTTTGGATCTACATGATTCTGGGCATGATGTACGTTTCCAGTAGAACCTGAGTTATCTGCTTCTCCTGCCTCTGGGCATTTGCAGCCATTCCCTTGCCTCACATTTCCCTTCTACTAACATCTAGACAAACTGACTATACAAATAGGATTTTCTAGTAGCCTATAAATCACTCTTGATATTCAACAACAGGAGCCTGGGAGAGAATCCCATAGTACAGTGGTGCACAGGTCTATTCACATTGGTAATTTACCCAAAGCTGACATATTTTCAAGTTCATGTTTTAATCTGTTGTTATCTTGGGCTTTGTGGTATAACACAGTAGCAAAAAATAAGGTTTCCTGCTGGGCAGAAGTAGTTGGTGGTTTCTCTTATTTTGATTTCCTTTTTCCTCTACCGCCCCCCCATCCCCCACTTTCACTTAACCCCCTTATCTCTGATTGTGTTTGTGACTGACTTTTTACCTGTGATGAAAGGCCAGGGCGAGCAGGAAGGGGGCCATGTAAACAGTGCCGGGAACGGAGGACAACACCGGCAGGTGCCTCCAGAGCTCCCTGGGACCAATTGGTGATGGGTTGAGAGGAAGCAACAAGTTACAGATGCGAGAGCCACAGCTCTCGGGCCCAGGGGTGCGCAGTTTATGGAATAAGCTCAGTGTCTTTGTGGGAGAACAGGGTGGGGGTGGGGGCTTGAGTTAGATATGTTTTCAATCCAACAAGAGGAGCTGCATTGGAAGGAATTGGGTGGGCTGCAGAAAGCAGACTGAGCTCGATTTTATGGACCCTTAAAGATTAATAAAACATTGTCTTACTAATAAAACAAAATCTATCTTCAGAGATTGACAGTCTAATGAGGGAGATGTTTGTATGAATAAATGGTAGAATGAAATACTGCTAAATAGGTATATAATAAAATAAATGATATTCTCTAAGAAGATGAGAAACCTTTTTGGAGAGGTGGCATGTAGGTTTGGCATGAAAAAGATGAGGAAAATTTCACTGAGAAGGTTGGCAACTGGAGGCGCCTGGGTGGCTCAGTCGGTTAAGCATCCGACTTCGGCTCAGATCATCTCACGGTCTGTGGGTTCGAGCCCCATGTCGGGCTCTGTGCTGACAGCATGGAACCTGGAGCCTGTTTCAGATTCTGTGTCTCCCTCTCTCTGTCCTTCCCTCATTCATGCACGCTCATGGGCGCGCTCTCTCTCAAAAATAAACATTGAAAAAACATTTTAGAAGGCTGGCAGGTGGAAGTAAGGGTGGAATTCTAAGCTGAGAACTCAGCATGACTAAAGACTTGGTATCAGAGTATGTTCAGGGAGCAGGCAGTAATGTAGTGTGGTTGGAGCACTGGTAGGTAGGACATGAGTAAAGCTGTTACTTAGTGTTGCCATTTGTATCACTGATGTTATCATTGAGCCTCTTCGTTCCTTAAGTAGCCCCACGATAGGAGGCCTCCAGACTTCAGCTGTACCAGTTAACAATAGGATGGGATGGCCAAGTAGGAGTCACACCTTGTGATTTGTTTTTCCAGCTACAAAGGACTTACCCTGTCTGAAGATTCTGAAATTATCCCTTGGTTGGGAATTATTGTCATAAAGAGCCACTGTTCTTTAACTTTTTCTTTTTCTTTTTTTTAAGTTAATTTATTTTGAGAGAGAGAGAATGTGAGTGGGGAGGAGTCAGACAGAGAGGGAGAAAAAGAATCCCAAGCAAGGTTCCGCACTGTTATCCTGCTATAGGGTTCAAACTCACAAACCATCAAACCATGAGATCATGACCTGAGCTGAAACCAGGAGTCTGCTCCTTAACTCACTGGGCTACCCAGGTGCCCCCAGAGCCACTGTTCTTACAGGGACTATGTCACATCCCTCAGGTGAAAAAAAGGTTGAGAACATGACCCTGACCATAAATTCCCCAAAAGCAAGGACTAAGTAATTAATTACTTTTTTATTCCCCACAAATTTGGCTTGGTCGGTTGGCTTCTGGCCATCTGTGAAATTCGAATGAACCCAGGTTTCTAACTCCTCTGCCTGCTCTCATACAGAATCCTCACCATGGATGGGCTCATTGAGGACATTAAGCGACGGCGGTACTATGAAAAGCCTTGTCGCCGACGACAGAGGGAAAGCTATGAAACCTGCCGGCGGATCTACAACATGGAAATGGCTCGCAAGATCAACTTCTTGATGCGAAAGAATAGGGCGGACCCATGGCAAGGCTGCAGAGGCCTGTGGGTAGTAGGCCCAGTATGAAGCTCCCTATCCAGCTGTCCCCTTCCTATCTCAAAGCCCATTTGTTCTTACCTTTTTTTTATAATAATAAACTCAATCACATATACGCAAGAAGACCTGCCTATATAGAAGCAATCCCATAGTTAACAGTGGACCCTCTCTTTTATCAAGTGAAAGAGAAACTGAGTCAAAAAGTAGTCTAAAAGTAGAATGGTGCTAACCAAGGGCTGGTTGGGAGTGGGGAACAGGGAATTATTGTTTAATGGGTACAGAGTTTCAGATGGGGATGCTGGAAAAGTTCCAGAGACAGATGGTGGTGATACTTACACAACAATGTGAATGTACTTCATGCCACTGAACTGTACACTTAAATGGTTAAAATGGCAAACTTGTGTATGTTTAGCTATAATAAATTTTTAAGTAATCTAGGAGAGATGAGCTTTTCTGAAATGTGGAGAAATAGATCTATAATTTCCTACCCAATTCTTATAAAACCCAAATCAAGACCTTATTATTGGAAAAGCACCTGTTACTCTTCACTGAACTGTCCCTTCTTCCCAACTATTAGAGGAAGCGTGTACATATTTGGAATAAATTTTGCTACTGAAACACCCATCCACCAGACTAGAGTGTGGAATCCTTGCCCAGAGGAATCCTTAAGATAAATCTAACATACACTCCTGTTTCTGTCTTTCCCCTAGTTTTTCTAAAGGAGGCTAGTGAAGGGATAGTGGAGAAAAATTAAAGCAGTAGGTGGATGGTAGAAAAGAGAGAGAGTGTTAAGAGGTATAAGGGCATAGAGCCAGAAATATCTACAGCAGGGATTCTCCAAGTGTGGTCTTTGGATCAACAGATTGTCTTTAGACTTTGTGAATTGGAAATTGGGGTTAGAGCTTAGTAATCTATTTTTTTTTCCTCAGTAATCTATTTTTAACAAGCCCTGCAGGTGATTCTGATGCCTGCTAAAGTTGGAGAACCACTACCCTACACTACTCATAGTTTCCAGGCAGAGATCTCCACTATCACTCCCACTTCTGTTCACCTCACATTCTTGGGTATGTGATCACTGTAGGAAGACTAGCTGCTCTGCATCCTTTCCTGCTGTCTGTTTTCTTTGGCCTTGGTCCCCCATAGCCATGCTGCTACTAGAATGAGAGTTGGTGCCAACCCCTATAGGAGAAACCCAGTAGGTGGGTGGAGCAGCTAGCCCACTTCTCACCCAGTCTCCAGCCCTCTATGGGGGTTTAAAAAGGAAGGAAAGCAGTCCCCTGCTTCTCCAGATTACTGGTGTTCAAACATTGCCCCCTTGTGGTATAGCAGCATGAAATCACATTTCTATAGTCTTAATTTTAGTCTTTTCTCCCTTTCACAATTACCATACTTACTGACTAGGCAGGCCTGCACAAGATCTGCTGGGGCCACTGTTCCTTGCCTTTCAAGGCTTCACCATCTTCCCCTCATCAGTAAGGCCTGTGGGGAATAAAGCATAGAAGTAGCTTAGAGCAGGTTTGGTCCTCACCCTCTGGAAACTTAACACTGGTTGGAGAAATTCTTTAAAAAATTTTTTTTTTAACGTTTTATTTATTTCTGAGAGAGCCAGCGCGAGCAGGGGAGGGCCAGAGAGAGAGAGAGGGAGACACAGAATCCGAAATAGGCTCCCGGCTCTGAGCTGGCTGTCAGCACAGAGCCCGATGTGGGGCTCGAGCCCATGAACGGTGAGATCATGACCTGAGCCGAAGTTGGGGTTCAACCGACTGAGCCACCCAGGCACCCCTGGAGAAATTCTTTAAAGACTGCTCAGTTTTGTTGTTTTTGTACAGCCTCATTTTCAAGTTAGACATTGATAACTTCTGAATTGCTTTTCAGTCCCTGAATTTGGTCTTTAATATACCACCTCTGAGTGATTTTGAGCCATGGCATTGTTTTACCTCCTGCCAATTGCTGTTGCTAAAGAATAAAGGCCTGGCCTTGGCCAACATGGAAGGGTGTGTTTGTGATCGTAGAGCCAGGCCTGTTACTTGGTGGCATTCCTCTGAGATTACAGTTGCTTCTGAGCTCCCCCCAAAATGTCAAGGGGTCGCCAAGATCTGGAATTACCTTCATCTCTAAAGTTCTCTCTGCTTGTTCTAGTCATTCATCCTGACCATTGTATGTCCCCCAGAGCAATGAACAGTGAGGTTTTAGCAGACAGCCCATTGAAAGGCCTCATGGAAACAGGGTAACCGGCCGGCTGCCTGAATTCTGGTCATTTTGTGCCATCATGGAAGGGAGAAAGACCTCTCTGTTCTGAGAAGCTAGAAGATACCTCATGGTCACACAATAAGTAGAAAATTCCTGAATCATTTTGTCCCTATTGGGTTTAGGAGGGGTGATTTGGCATTTACCCAGTTACAAAGTGGGAGATGTAATAAGTACTCTTCTGATCATAAGGCATCTGTGACATTTCCTACATGTCCCCTGGACTTCCTCTGGCAGGTTGGTCCTAATCAATTTAGGAGTCAAATAATGTTTGGTTCTCTGGAAAAAGGAACCCATTTAAAATTGGGACTTTTTGTTGTGTAACTCTGACATTGTACTTTAAAGGGTTCAGAAGTGCACTGAGGATGAAATGAGAATTTCCCTATCTGTTGGCTGCAAACATTGCAGAATAATAACTCATTGAATACTAACAAGATAAAGTAATAATGGAGTGATGTGTTCAGTGTAAGTAATTGAAAGGAAAATGTTGGAGCTCCCACTATGTACCAGTTATCTTACATATGTAGTTTTTTACTTAGATCTGGATTTGATCATGATCTTGGCAAGTTACTTAACATAAAATCTAGTTCTCCCTGTAAAATGAGAATAATTGAATATACAGGTTTTTGGTGAGAATTTAATGAGCTCATGCATTTCAAATACTCAGCATGGTATCTGGCGTGTAGAACTCAATAAATGTTAGCAGTAATCCCTCAGTTGTGCCAGACAGAAGCCTGATCATTGATTCCTCCTCCACACTCAACCATCTCTACATCTACTTAGTCCCTGTTTTGAGGACTAAGTGCCACAAGCCTAGTCCCAGCTGTCATTACTCTTCTGAATTATAACAATTCTTTAACTGTTTTGCATCAGTGTCGCCTGGCCTTCAGTCCCTCCACCCTTAGATCAGGATGATTCTTCAAAAATGCAGCCTTGATCATTTCACTTTCCTGCGTTAAGTAGGTAATTGGTTCCCTCTGTTTTCAAGATAAAGTCCAAACTACTAGCATGGCATTTAAGTCCCTTTGTGACCGAGTCATGCTTTCCAGGTTAGGCACTTGATGCCCTCAGATGACTTCTGGGGTGTGCTGTTCTTTTGACCTCCCTGTGTGCCAGCTCTCCATTCGGATGTTCTCCAAGATGACTTCCCTGATCTCTTTACCAACTTGTCTTCTATTCTCTTGAATTTATCTTCATAAGCTTACTTCTGTAATAGTTTATTTCTATAACTTTTGATTTATGGCTTATTTGCCTTTCTCCCTCCATTACATTTTTAGTTACTTGGGGGTTGGGTCTTTGTTGTTGGGTTTTTTTGAACCAGTATATGCCCAGTATAATGCCCAGCATTTAAATGCTCTCTCTCTATATATATATATATTTTATATTTTATCTTTATATATATATAAAGAATATATCTTTATATATATATATAAAGATGTTTTATTTTTATTTTTATTTTTTTAATGTTTTATTTATTTCTAGGAGAGAGAGAGAGAGACAGCGTGAGCAGGGGAGGGTCAGAGAGAGAGGGAGTCACAGACTGAAACAGGCTCCAGGCTCCGAGCTGGCAGTCAGCACAGAGCCCGACGCGGGGCTCGAACCCACGAACCGCGAGATCATGACCTAAGCGAAAGTCGGACGCTTAACCGACTAAGCCACCCAGGCGCCCCTATAAAGATGTTTTAAAAGTAATCTTGGGGCGCCTGGGTGGCTCAGTTGGTTGAGCGTCCGACTACGGCTCAGGTCATGATCTCGCGGTTCGTGGGTTCAAGCCCCGCGTCGGGCTCTGTGCTGACAGCTCAGAGCCTGGAGCCTGTTTTGGATTCTGTGTCTCCTTATCTCTCTGATCCTCCCCTGCTCATGCTGTCTCTCTCTCAGAAATAAATAAAACATTAAAAAAATATTTAAAAAAAATAAAAGTAATCTTTACATCAGGGGTGAGGCTTGAACTTACAAGCCCAAGATCAAGAGTTGCACACTACCAACTGAGCCAGGCAGGCATCCAGGGTTCCAATTTCCTATCTCCTCACCAATTCTTGTTATTTTCTGTTTTGTTTTTTAAATATGTTCTCTAGTAGTCATTCACTAGTGTGAGGTGATACCTCATTGTGGGGTTTTTTTTTCCTTGTGGGTTTGGATTTGCTTTTCTCTGATGATGTTGAACATCTTTTCATGTGTTTACTGGCCATTTGTAGATCTTCTCTGCAGATATGTGTATTCAAGTCCTTCACCGGTTTTTGAATCAGTTTGGTGTTTCTGGTTGTTGAGTTAAAGGAGTTCTTTATATACTCTGGATATTAATCACTTATCATATAGATCACTCATGTTTCCTCCCATTGTGTGGATTGTCTCATCACTCTCTTGATAGTGTCCTTTGATGGACAAAAGTTTTATATCTGATGAACTTCAGTTTATCTATTTTTTGTTGTTGCATGTGTTTTTGATATCGTAGCCAAGAAATCATTGCCAAATTCAATGTCTTGAATTTTCCCTATGTTTTCTTCGAAGAGTGTTATAGTTTTTGTCCTTAACTTTAGGTCTTTAATCCAGTTTGTGTTGATTTTTTTTTTATTTTTTTATTTTTATTTATTTCTAGGAGAGAGAGAGATAGACAGCGTGAACAGGGGAGGGTCAGAGAGAGAGGGAGTCACAGACTCTGAAACAGGTTCCAGGCTCTGAGCTGGCAGTCAGCAGAGAGCCCAACGCGGGGCTCGAACCCACGAACCGCGAGATCATGACCTAAGCGAAAGTCGGACGCTTAACCGACTAAGCCACCCAGGCGCCCCTTGTGTTGATTTTTTAATATGATGTGAAGAAGGAGTCCAACTGTATTCTGTACATGTGGATACTCATTTTGTTCTGTGCCATTTGTTGAA